CATTGATTTCAATCGATTAAAATTTTGATTTTGTTGCAGAAAAATCCGATTATCAATTTCGATTACGCCCATAGGATTTTTGAATTTTAATCGATTTTAATCCCTAAAATTTTTCACTGGGAAATGTGCCATCGATAAAGATATGAGAAGATTGGAAAAGAATTGCCAGTTGTAAATCATTGGCAAATGTGAGCACACGTTTATTTCGAATGGTGGTGTCAGTAAGAAGAAAAGGTTTACCACTCAAAGTTTGACAGTATCAATCTGGTATTCCAAAATAGCATGACGTTGGAAGACATGATGTTGTTTGCCGACGCAAGCGTTGAAGAGACGATTGCGCTTCTTTCGCCGAAGGTGCAAGAGCTAAAGCAGGAAGACTAAACTGTGCCGCAGCCAGCTCCTGATCGTAAATAAGAGCTATAGGTGCAGATTCTTTGGTAATACGAGACTTCACTTTGTGATTGAGTTCAAGTAATTCGACGTGTTCCGGTGATGGCAAATGATCGTGCTTACCTTTACGAGCTTTGAATTTATCGTTTTTGTCGGTGTAGATATTTGCAGAGCATGAACGATCTTTGCATCGCCAATACTTCATATGGCGTTGATCGTTATTCAAAGTGTACATATAGCCATCACAAACCGGTAGTGGCTTTCCTTTCGACGTTGTTAAGAATTTGAGACGAGAAGTAGTCATATTGAGTAGATGATAAGAAAAAACAGAGAAAACAATGAACAAATTATCGACTATGCTTATGCAGGGTACAAAATAGATACGAGAGAATGAAAATTCACAATGCAAGTGATAAACAGAAAAATAATGAATAAATGAGTGCATATGTTTCGACAATTGTGACATATATTCGACTGCTGTCTGAGTAATTTTCACACTGGCGTCTGATATACAAAGAGAGTAATGAGAAAGCTATGTTTGAACTTATCGACCGTCGACAAGACAAAAGAAGATATAAACTAATGATGTCATTCGATCAACTATTTGTTCGACAAAATGTTTTTCTACAAAATGATTTTCGACTAAATGTCTTTCGACGAAAAACATAACGTTCGTAATTATGCTTATGTTTTTGATATTTCTTGTTTGATTTTGACTTCATAAGTATTGATTGGTTATCTTCCAATCACGATTTAAGAATGATGTTATCTTCGTAAATTATGATTAGAAGACAATTAATCAATGCTTATCAAGTCAGAATCAAACAAGAAATATCAAAAACATAAGCATAATTACAAGTGTTTGTCGAAACTACATGGGAGTGTGTAAGATTGATTTTTCGTTTTCTCAGTCAATGCTTGATGTATATGGCTGAAATTTTGCCAGTAGATAGAGTAACACAAGGTCTATCTGTGGCATAAATATGGGACCTAGAAGATGTTCAATCATAGAGGAATCAAACAAACAAGCTTTTCCGCTTTTCATGACCGGGGAGATATGTACATCAGAAACTAACAGAATATGTGCCATGAAAAATTGGTAGCGCAAAATGTGGCACTAAACATTGTAAGACAGGCGACATTAAATATTTCTTTTGTTGTTGTTTCTGGTCGTTAATAATAAAGCAAATGATAGGCGTACACTTTTTACAATATCGCGGTGATTGATTTTTTTCTAGAATGAACAAGTGAACGAGAGATAAACTATCATGTCAATCGCTAAAGCGTTCAGTCATCAGCAAAACTAAGGTTTATGCTAAGGTAAGAGTCAGGACAGAGGATTCTGCAAATCAACGGTTAAATGACAATATCAGAACAATTCGAGACATGCATTTTTATCTATTTTCTATTTTTAACAAAAAAATCCGGATAATTTGAGTTACACAGGGCCTCACACAATTGAATTCCACTGCTCTACGAGTTTTTCTATAAATATTTTTATTTGAAAGTTCATCTGGCACTGAGTCTTCAGCGACGTAGTTACTCAGAAACAATATGGGAGACTTGAATGTTAACTGCAAAGTATGACGATATATATGAGTTCTATATTTAATGCTACTAGCATTTCAATGAAATTTCTGTGCGAATTTTGAAAATATTAAGAACATAGTATAGAAGAAAACCCTATGAATAAGGTGATCTATTTAGAATTAAGAAATCAAATACTTCATGTTGGAGAGCAAAACGAGGCGTGTCGACTGGTGTATAGCAAATT